TTGACATGAACAGATATGCTTGCGACATCATCACGTGTATGCATTCGTTTTCTATTGTTTTAGTCATGGTTGTTACACTGTGTACTGATCTGTCAAATCAGTGTCACATTCTCGGTCTCTCATCACCTAGGTAAACAACGTGGTTATCGATACCGGAAACTTGTCTGTTAGGTCACACGCAAGCGCAGTACAGGTAAATTGGCTTCAGCGAGAGGGTTACAAGTCGTCACGGTTCGGTGCACAAATACAAGAGGTGGACAATACATACGCTAGACGAGAGTGGTGTTGCCAATCCCTGTTATCTAAGTCCGTGATATAACTTAGCAGTGAACATATCACAACCTTAAAGACTAACATTTTCGTTTGTTGTGTTCCTCGATAATGACATTCCTGACACTGATTATGTCTGTCAAACATTCGTGGGTGTACTTTTCCTGAAGAGATGTCCTGGTCTTCATAACGATAAAACACTTTCTGATATTGGTGTTTATGTATTTTCTAGCGGTGGACACTTTAACCCTGCTGTGTCCCTGGGAGTGTGTCTGTCGGGTGGTATCACGGTCGTCCTCACAGTAGCCTACATCGTGGCTCAGATCCTTGGAGGTTTGCTTGGAGCAGCATTCGTCAGGGTATGCGTCATTCCCCTAATCCCATCAGCTCTCTCTTTTTCTTTCTCCATCTCGCCTTCCCTCTGCTCACCTCTTCCTTTCTACCTCTATCCTCCCCCTCCCTCCCTCTCCATCTCTCTTTGGTTATGTTAAAGCGTTACTATTCTCTTTGGACAATACTTACATATTTCGTTAGACATCCGTTGTATTTTATTTTGATTGTAATTGTATAAAAAAATGGCCATATATTTATTATCAGTATGACGGTATGCCATTGAATCCTGTTATTTGTGAGTATATGACGGTAGGTCATGTTTGTGAGTTTATGACGGTTCGCAATGCTTGTGAGTTTATGACGGTTCGTATTCTTGTGAGTATACATGTATATGACGGTAGGTCATGTTTTTGAGTGTATATGACGTTGTACATCTATTACAGGCTATACTTAAAGACAGCGTGTACAACGCCATAGCTGGAGGAGCACATATCCCTAGCATAGACGCCGGCTGGGCCGTATTCGGGGAAATTATCCTGACAACAATCCTCGTCCTCTCCGTCCTCATGAACGCTGTAAACGATGAAACAAAGAACGAGTTAGCCCCTTTAGCAATTGGCTTTGCTGTAGCCGTAGACATTATGGCAGCGTAAGTATAGTGTTTCACGATATGTCTGGTTAATCAAATAACATAGCAGAATCGTATACAGATTATGTTCGTTGTCTTCACAGTGCATTTTTTTCATTCGAAATTTCAACATTAAAGTGGGTTTTTTTTTTAATCGAAAAATAAATATTGCCAATTTGACACCAGCCGAGGGTGGTTTATACTCGCGTTGATCGCGATGATCGCGTTGCTTGTCTCTTTCGCCTTATTCGAGTCGCTCGCCCAAAGACGTGAATGTAATCAGCTGTTATATTGTGTTGTATTCCAGGGGTAGTACAACTGGCGCATCCATGAACCCAGCCCGAAGTTTCGGACCGGCAGTGGCAGGCTCCGTTGTCATCCCCCAGGACCCGTGGTCCTACCACTACGTGTACTGGGTAGGACCCGCCGGTGGTGCAGTGCTGGCAGCCCTCTTGTATAGGTAATATTACCTTTTACACAACATGAACACATTACATGGAATACGTTTTAAACAAGCTGGCAAATTGCCTCAGTGGTGTTGACAAAGCAATATGTGTCTCGCTTCGGTTCAATTGTGTCAAGTAGCTTCTTTTTTTGTTTGTTCATTGTGTTATGTCCAGCCATAAGACATAAATATACTTTATGTCACACAGCTCTTTAAATGCGAATGACTTTAATGAAGGGAAAAAATAAGAATTCATCATCAGGATTATGTTAAACTAAGAAAGCCATATTTTGATTGCCTTTGTTTTGGTTAAAATTTAAGATATTTAAATGTTTTCAGATTTGTACTTAGCAGCAATGCGCAAAACCCGTCGGTGTTCAGTATATCATGCAAACCGATCCGACCGTATGATGAACAGGGTTTGGAGAGTACCAAGACACACACGGTGCCAGCGGACAAACAGCCAAGCCTGAAAATGACAGAACAATTCAACTAGAATCCCTCTCTGGCCGCGCAGGGCGATAGCATAAGTTCTAATCGCTTATAACCATGCTAAGAAAACTACTAGATAGAGGATATTTAATGGTGTCTTCGGTAATAACAAATATATTTCACGAGTGTGGCTAATATTTTGATATTTTTTCACGAGTGCGCAGCACGAGTGAAAAATATCAAAATATTAGCCACCGAGTGAAATATATTTGTTATTACTGAAGACACCGTTACATTTTCTATCTTATACATTTTTAAAGTATAAAACATGAAAAATGTAATGCATTTAAAAAGAGCGGGAATCAGAGGCGTAATAATTAGCGCCATATTCTAATGACGTCACGCTTAACAACAAGGCTTCGCGCCATTTTGAATGGGATACTCAACGCTATTACGACGTTTTTTGCTATATTTTGGTATGATTGCTCATACAAATGTTATTAACTGTACATGTATATTTATGTAAATACTTAAGTGTGTGAACCAAACATTTACCATAACAACCACTTATTCTACGGTCGCTTCATTTGAATCTGAACAAAATAATCGTTGCCTTTGAATGCAGCGAATAGAAGATACCGTTATGATTGGTCAATAACAAAAAGTGATATTTGTCACAGTGTGAAAGATGTCAGTTTTATCAAGTTAATAGAATCCAATATTTCACTGGAAAAAATGTAATAAATTGCATTATCCAATTGCCATTGGAACTAGCATTTATTCAAGAAGACGGGTGGCGTCTTAAATGTTTGCAATCATGGTCAGTTGAAATGGTATATGACGATAGCTGCGTGCAAGCTATAAACCAGTATATCATTGTTCTACAGAGAAAGTTGATATGTTACAAAGCTTTGTACTTGTTATTTATGTTGTATGTTTGCGTTATGCGTTGCAACAATGTGATCGGATATATTTCGTGCAATATTTCATTAAAAATACTCTATCTGAAGCATATGTAATTAATTTGAAAAACAAAATATAAGTTTTTACATGTATTTTACTCTTTTTTTGTTATATATCCAAATACGTTTTATCTTGTTAATGACGATCCATCACTTGTGCATATCCTTGCGTCACAGACCTATCACGAGTGTACCTCCTGTAACTAATCAAAGCTCCACCACCTGCGCACGCCTTTAGGTACAGCTTTAACAAAAGTGTGCCTTCTGTACGTCACAACTTTAACACGTGTGTATTTCATGTCAATCGTTGTCTTACACGTGTGTATCCAGTAAGTCACAGCTCTAACATATGTGTATCCGGTAAGTCACAGTTTTTACACGCGTGTATATTTTGTAGGTCAAAGCTAGTACGCCTTTGTTTCTCTCAGACCTCTCGAATGGCAAAAAGGAATAAGTTTTTCTTCTTTAGTTTTTCCACTGATGCTTCTCATTCCACAATGTATCTAACTGTGCACCTCTGACTCTATAAACATCGGACTGTTTTAGAAGAATAACAAATGCAATTGAAAAGTCTAAGACAAACATGTCCTCCTATATCAGAGCTGCTCGTGACTTCGTCCATGGATGTTTCGCCGTAGGAGCGCTAAGGTGGACGTTTTGGGGTTGGAATTCACATGATAGTTCAACTTCAGTTTGATGTTAAATCTATGTATAATGAATTCCGTCAGTTGATGATTTGGAAAATATCACACTTTCTTTGGTTGAATTCCGTCATCCAATCTTCTTTCCATTTCTGAAGGCTGTCTAGATCGTTATGGAGCTGCTGTTGATCTGCTCTATTTTTGATCTTCCTTTGAATGCAGTCTGCAAATAACCAAGGAGTTGACTTGATTATCTCAAACAGGTCATGCATAAACACAAGGAACAGCAGAGGAGTTAAGACTGTTCCTTGTGTGTCCTCTCAAAGTAACCGCTGATGATGTGAAGATCCTAGATGTCGCAAAGAAAGGTGATTTAAAGGAGCAGCGGTTCGTTAACACCGTTGTACTGAAGTTATATCAGGAGACTTTGTCAAGTGCATTCGAAAAGCCAAGTTATGCACAGTACACCAAGGAGTTCGGCGATTTCGAATGTACTTTTCAAAATATTACCAACATGTTGCTGAATATCCCCTTGATTGATGTCATTGTATTTCTGATCATCAAGAGTTGGCTTTAGAGTTGGTGGTCATCTTTGATAGTATTACACTTCCCTGGGGTGTCTTGTATTCTAGTTTTGATATCTTTCTATGAAGGATATCTTGTTGGTCTGACGTGAATATGGTTCTCCAGAGACAATCAGCTTTGTGTCATAGATAGGCCTCGCGTTACAGTGGTGTAAGGTTATCACTGTGATGTTGGAGTAGACGAAAATGACCTTGTGGTCAGTCATGCATTGCTGGTGTAATATCGCACTATTCCTTGTTGGATAATCTAGCACCTGTTCAAATCCACCGCCACTAAAGGTAGTGGGAAGATGTTATTCAGTCTGATAGTGTTTAGGGCAGTTTTCGTTTAAACGGTCAAACCGGTTGGACCACAGTTGTTCGTTTATTAAATAAGGTCTGACCTAGTAATCTGATGCTGCTTTCAGGTGAGCATTGACAAGACCTTGCAAGGCCTGCATAGACATTTGGTGTAATGGTGTAATCTGACAACCAATTTATAACGAGGATTTGGAAGTCGCCAGTTATCCAAATTGTTTCAATTGATTAACTGTACATTTCCTCCAGTTTGGCTGCGAGGGCGATATGTGATACGGAGTATGGAAAATCCCAGGTGATCGGATACTGCACTCCAAAGCCGCGTGGTCGGATGCTATATCTGTATCGGCAGACACGAAAACTCTACACGATTGGATACAGTCGATCAATGTGTCATTTATCAAAACATAGTCGATGGTAGTTTCAAGGGGAGAAAATGTGTAAGGTAGACCTGTACACAGATCAGATTTGTTGACATAGATCAGGTTATTGGAAGAAATAAACCTATGGACAAGCGATTGTGTATGAGATGGGAACCGTATCATACTGTGCGTTGAGATCACCAACTACAGTTATGTCATCCAAATCTGCGTAGAACCGAACAATACCTCCAAGAGCTTCAATAACTTCGGTAATATCAGCTATATTGGAGTCACAAGGCAAGTACACTCCAAACAGGAAAAGAGGCTTTGCGTTGACACGATGGATACACATTCCAATAATACGATTTGATTGCACAATTTGTATACCTTTAAATGAGTAGCGAAGCTCTTTTCGGACTAAATATATGAGCCCACCATTACCACAACACACTGAGTTATACTCTGTGTCCGAAGGCACATGATATGTATCGTAACGTTCATGGATACTGTAAGGAAACTCTGGGGAGACGGAGTTCGCAAAGAAAGGCTACATCATACGCATGCGTTGAAAATAATCTGTTAACACAGAGTGCTGACGAGATAATTCCTCGGACATTCCAAGTTAGAATTGACAGAGCCATAACAAACCTAGAGGCTAACAAACTGACAGTTTGGGACTGTAAGGTTATATGAGAAGGCGATTTGTGTGAAGAAATTGTGCGATCACTCGTCATACAGCTATTCAGAAGAGCAACGATATGGTCTGGAAGTTGCTCAAAATGTTCATCGCGCTCATGGGTTGCCGTAGGAGAGGACTCGTTTGACTATGGCTACATTCGCGTATCCGGTTGAAACGGTTGAACCGGATGAACCTTTAAAGAAAACGACAGGTACAGATTTGGACCGAGGCTGACCTCAGGAAAATTTGGTACGTGTAGATTGAGGGGTCCAGACGTATCTGACCGAAACTAAAATGCTGACTATTGCCAATTTGCGTTATTTCTTTCTTAAACAATGTCAAGTCACATGTAATTTTTAAGATACGTTATGAAATTTAGTTGACGCGTGAGAAAAGGGCATAATATTCTTGATACATTGTTTTTTATTCTCCGAAACTGTGGATTTTTAGCTCTGCTTATCGTGGAAAATTTACCGTTTCAACCGGGATACGCGGATGTAGCCATATTTGACCTCTATATACACCTTTGCTCGTGTCGGCTTGGCTATTGTTGGGTACGCGTGGCCCACTCGATGGGATGTTTACCTATTCGTCAGGTATGTCAGAGGCACCAACAGGGGAACTGTTCAACGGTTTCGTGAATGTTCTAAGGTTTTTCTTGAGATCGCCGATTGCTGAGGATGGCGAATGAAGTTTATTATTAATCGGATCACACTGACTGACATGGGAGAGAACTTGTGGGTGCGGAGACCGAATCACTGACAATAGGATTAAATCCCTTATCTATTGGAAGGCTAACTGGGAGAGCCTGAAATCTGAGTGTGCTCTTACAGGTGAAAAAACGTCCCAGCTTGTATGTATAGATGAAAATTAATTAAGGAGAAGAATGTGGAACTACTTCAATTGTTTACTTTGAACTTGGAACTATAGGCTCCAATATAATCATCATCTCTAATCGTGAAAAATTAAAATTCAGTCCCATTGTTTACCTCGAAAAGCGTGTTTGTACAGACAGGCAAAAGATATTCAGCAAATGGAATTATTATGTTTTTAAAGAACAGCAAAAATAGCAATATCTCATACTTTTATTTGCTTAGCTATACCATCATGAAGGATTTTGCACCTCGGCTGACCCAGGGATTTACAAGATATTCCAACTTTTGTTGGTGATGCTGTATAGCTCTGAGACGCACTCACTAGTTCAGTAACGCCGAGCATGATCAGCGGCTGGATGGTTGCACGTTACATTTACTAGAACACACTGCGTGGCGTCATTTAATGAAACATCCTGAATGTGACAGAATACTATATCACTCAATTAAGGGATTTGGAGTGGATATCCTTGTTAGTCACAACTTTATAATAAGATATACAGAATAGTAGACAACCATCGGCAAACAATCTATCTTTGTATGAAAGATCATTTAAGGCAAATGAATAGAAGTGGTTCCAGTTCTGTCCCTTAGGACACCGAACTCCATCGGGACTGTATCCAGCTGTGTGTACGAATACCTAAAATCAAATTTGGTAGCCTGGCGGGGAACCTGCTTACTCAATTGACAGAGTTTCGAGGCTGCGTGATGAAACCAACCTTTATGGCTCCAAATATCACCAGACGTCGTGTAGCGAGGACACATTTACAAACTATAGAAAAAAACACGC